TGAGTTGCTGCTCAATTGAGTGGAAAAATTTTTCATCCATTGGCTTCCATTTTGCGGGAGCGCTTCGGGAAGGGCCCGGAAAATTCAAGGCAGTCTGAGGAATAAGTTTGGAAAAATTGTGGAAATTTCCAAGCGAGGCTAAGATGCAAAAGGCTGAAATAAACACGCCACGAATTCGATTTGCAAATAAAGTATAATATGGAGTATATTCATTTAAAGTTAAACAAATAATGGGTATTTGATTTAAAGAATAAATTTAATTCAACAAAATCGACAAATAATCCAATTAAACTTGAATAAACAGCAAAGACTCTTTAATTGACATTAAATAAAAGTACAAAACAAACGTGATTAATCTAATGAATTCTATCTGCATTAGTTAACAATCTCCGGCAAATCTTGATCGAGTTAGGGACAGCCTTATACTTTTAACCCACTTCATTTGTCAAAGGCCAAGTGAAAAGCTGTGCGTAAGCCAAATGAATTTCGGTTTGGGTCAACTGGCCCCATAAAGAAGCCTAATAAATGAGGGTAAGGGCGGTTCTTAGCAACTAATAAGTATCGCAAACAAGTTTCTTAATCCCATACCCAGCGTTTTGCCGCCTAGGTCAACGAACAGGTTGATAAACACAGGACCCCCTCTTAAAAAACACATCTGGGAATCCATTAGGGGCCAGCTGGCCCTAAGTCAAATACCCGTGTGAAACAATGAGTCGACTTCAATGAGAGTTGAACGACTCCCACAAAAAACCCCAGAAAACTTTTCTTCAAGAGGTAAACGGCTCTGTTTGCCCGGCAAAGTATGCAACCATATTTTACACATGAAAGTTTAGTGCCGCAGCCAAAAAACGAAGAAAAGGGACTGGACTCCGGACTCCGGACAAAAACACATTGTTGGCCGCACGGGCTACATAAATAATTTCCACCACACACTTACTCACTCACCAAGTCCTGGCACTTTGACTAAATGGTGTGTAATAAAATTTAAATTGCTTTTGTCTGGATTTTCTTTTAGTATTGCCGTTAAAGTTGCCTTTGCGAAGGAGGAATTTCCTCATCTAGGCCAACTAGATACCATGGTGAATCCAAAATTTGTAAAGTGGTTTAATGCCCTCTTAAAAAAAACTTAAATTAGACTTTTTATGTCTTACTTAAAGAATGTACTAAAAGAATCTTTCTTTAAAAAGTTTTAAGTGCTGATTAAATAATTAAGTTTTATTGGCCAACAGGCAATTTAATTCATTTTTCATAAAGAATATTTTTCATGGATTCTATTTAAATAAATTCGATTCTATTGAAGAAAGCCATAATAAACATAAAAACTTTTTGTTTATTTAAAAAGTTTTGACATGCAATTTTAAATTCCATTAAATTTAATTATTTCGCAAAAGGGCAGTTAAAAAGAAAAACCAAAACATTGTAAAGACCTAAATAAAATAAAAAGTTTTAAGGTTGTATAAAACATGAGTGTTTGGTGCTTATGTCTATAATTTTAAAGCGGTTCGAAAGTATATCCTCAATTAAAATAAAACAAAACGCATTAAAAACTTTTGAATACGATCTAAATTAAACATATTAACATTAATACTACAAATGTACACAGAGAAAGTAATACAAAGTTTTAGGTGCCTTTATATATAAAAACGTTTTAAAAATAAAAATAAAAACGTTTTAAAAATACAAAGTAAAATAAAATTAGTATGAAGCGTTTTACTTTTTAAAATGTTTCACCCCTTATTTTGCACCTTAAACTTTTGATAATTTTCACTGTGCAGCTTAAAGCTTTATTTTCCCATTTTTAATATAACTTAAAAAGGACATAGGCTTAGGTGTTATATTTTGTAATTTTGCCTGCCTTTCACGAAAATTGACCCACTGTGCTGGCCAGTGGCCACACACTTCGACATTTATAACAATTGCCCAAATTGCTGCTAATTAAATATGATTTAGCAGGCTAGTGCAAACGTCTGTCTTTGGCTGAGCTGTCAATATTTGTCAGGAAGCGGGCGATAAAGCGGCCGTGTCCTTACACTCTCACACAGACGTGTCTGAGACTGTCCCTGACCCCTGACATTAGACCGTGCATGAAACCGACCTCGGGCAACCAAATTTGTTTATAATTCAAATAGCAGAAAAAATGGCAAACTATGCAACAGCAAGGAAAATTGTGGAATTGTATAAAAACGAGGCAAGGAAAACACGTTAAGCAAACACGATAACGATACTATATAGATATGAGAAGGGAGCCAGCAAGGACAACAAGGACACTGCCGAAACACAAGCAGGCAAATTTATTTCAATTTAAAAATTTTGGTCACGCTCAACACAAAAAGCGAGTTAAGCGAGTGGGTGAGAAATGGAGGGATAAAGAGGGAGGAGGGACCGAGCTTGGGGCAACTGCCATTTGTATAATTGCTGTCGTGATGGAGGAGTAACTCTGCTCCGCACTGCCAATGTCTTGTATTCTCCCAGCCCCTCGAAGATTCCTACTTTATGCCATGACACGCTCCAAGGACGCTTGACAGCAAATGGATAAGGACATTATCATCTGTGGACAGGGGGGCTTAAAAAACGGCAATGTGAAAACTAGCCAGCACAAGGATAACCGGGGGCTAGATGTTATTGAAATTTGAGATGAGCATTGGCCAGTCGAAAATTCTGCGGGCTACACAGAGAAAACTAGCAGAAATTGTAGATGCAAAATCAGGGCTAAAACTTTTGATAGTTAAACGCTTCATAACGATTTGTTTTACTGATGACATGATAATATAATTAATTTAATTTACTTTTTAAAATAACAATTTGTTTACTGATGACATGATAATATAATTAATTTAATTTAATTTACTTTTTAAAATGTTTTACCGTTTTAACTCGTCACCCTTTCTCTGTGTTTTAATCCAAATAAACTTAATAAATAGTTTGCATATTAAAAGTACAGAATCTTCTTTTTGGACGGTTCTAAAAATAATTAATTCAATTCAACATGCTTTCTGATATTTTAACACTTTTAACATTTTCTTTATAGTTAATTAAGATTTTTGTTAAATTTAATTAAATATTCTGAATCGTTAAAAGAAATTAAATCCCAGAGTTGGAGAGAATAAAATCGATGAAGCTATAATTTTGTTCCTATTTATTTCCTATTTTAATGCTATTACCAAGAGTGGAAGGTACTATGTCAAAAATAAGTGACCGTAACCGACATAAAAAAATTAGTTATATCGGTAATAACCATTAACCCATTCAAACCCAATATTTCGTTCGGTTTTAATCCCTGATTAGCATTTACATAAGACGCTAAATATGAAGAAATAGCAGTGTAATTTTTTAGCCTTTCAATATAACTTCACGCCGCCATCTCCATTAAAATATTTATGCAGAAAGCCAGCCAACCGTCGACGATTTATGTCTGGGAACTAAGTACTTGATATGCAATGGCGATTCGGAATCGCAGACGGGCAGTTCAGTGCCGACTGGGCTGCATATAGCCATACGTATGTGGCATTGCTATACTAGAACCGGACTGTCCGGGGCCTTGACAATGGCAATGAGACCGTCGGACTCGTGTGTTGACATCGATTGACACGGGTGGTGCGGTGCCTTCAGGTCGAAGGCCACCGCCACAACTACGGCAAACTTTTTCCAACCGAGTTCGAGTTCAAGTCGGCAGAACAAAAAATAAACGTGAATGTCGTTAAGTTGAGGTAACCCACGTGTTGTCCTTGCCCGAGCGTTTGATATATGCAACAAGCAATCGGGAAGGTGTGGGCCTGGGAACGGGGCCAGGTGTCCCTGTCTAAATGTTTGTGTGTGGTCAGATTGTTGTGGCTGTGGGAACTAAAAAGCGGTGGTCATTGTATAGGCACACAAAACTTGTGGCATCCTTGAGGCAATCAACGAAATTATAGAGGAAATAGAAAAAGTTTACGACAACTTTCAGACACAAGAGTTAAATGTTTTAGTCCGGCCAAAAACTGCTCAAAGCTGATTGCAAAACTAGAAGGAAAAATTAGAATGTTAATGAGTAGTTTTACTGAATATTACCAAAGTCAAATCTATGTGAAAGATACTAGTATGATCTAGGATACTAAAATATTTAACTGTTAGTTTAATTCTCCAAAATGAGCAAGAAGCACAATCTATAAAATATCTCAAAAAAATCGCACAAATCCACGAAATCGCCTTTCAGGAAAGCAACGTGAAAATAAATCAGGCTACCCGCAATTTACCAGCCACGAATAAATCAGTAGCATTATAAATTATTATAGTGTCATTCAAATAAAGCCGTAAACACTAAATTATCGCACTCTGGGGACATTTACCAGCACTTAAGATTGTCAACAACACCCATTAGCATGTGATGCGATCCGCAAGGCAAACTTAATTCAAAGTAACGAATTGAATTGCTCAAACTAATTATTGGACCGTCCTACGCGGTCCTACGGGGTCCTTGGGGTTCCGGAGGGGCTCCGGATCCGTGTCCGTGTCCGGGCGACTGATTTATGCTTGCAGGCGTCGCAAAAGCATTCATCCATCCTGGCACCAACAGTATATCCTTCAACTTGACCACCATGAATGTTGGTCTGAAAAGGAGGTGGGTCGGTTCTTCATATTGCGGTCTCCATACAGCTGGCTGGATGTGAGTGTGCGAAGTGTCCTTGTCAAACACTAATGGCGTCGTCGCCATTGCCTTTGTCCTTGCCAGCGTGTTAATGTGCGACAGTTTCCTGCTATGACGTTTCCTCCCAACAGGCTAAAATCGAATTGAGAAGCAGCATTTTAAAATTCCCCGTTTGTTTGTGCGAGGTAAAGCAATTGAAACATGTTTCCGGCTTGCCGTGAATTCGATCCGTCTCCTTTGGCGAAAATGAATTGAAGGCCAGGACATCTGGCCGAGCTCGCATGAGGTCTCTGGGGTCAAACAGAAAGGCTGCATTTGCTCCTGCACGGCTGCTTGATTTATCCTTTTCTCTGACTCGATTTCTTTTTTTTTGCAGAATTTATGCCTGTGCAGTTTTCCATCGATTTTCGTCTTGCGCCACAACGGACTGGGGATGAAACACCAAACACATAAAACGGATTTGATATTAAAAAAATATGCAGGTAAAAATACGTTGTACCTTATGAGAATTTTAGGGTGGACCAATTATTGCTTGCTTAGGGTTTTTATTTTGGCTTAACATAAAATTATAATCAGTAACATTATAATTTTTTAAACATAATTTAAAAGTTTAAGCATAGCCAATATTTTAGTGATTTTATTTTCTGCTGGTTTTGTTAAAGTAAAACTAGCACTTACATATTGCTGGTTTGGACAACAGCGCGTGTGAGTGATGAAACTAAAAGGCCGTGGATAAGGTTATTAGGAAAACTATAATTTAAAAAAAAAATCATTAACTTAATTTGATTAAAATGATAGCATAGACATCCGTTTTGTGTTAATGTACAATTTTATAAAAAAGTATAACTTTTTTATTTATCGTAAAAAAATTGTTTTTCACAAAATGGAAAATCTACTTTAACCATTTTTTACTTTACTAACTTTGCTTTTATAATTATTTAATATTGTTTAAAATGCCTTGATTAGGTATACCAAATAAGGTTAAAGGGATAATCTCAGGAAATTGTTTGGTAATAGTTTTATAAGGAGCTCTTATTGAGAGCTAAAGAATTCGAGTGGTGAAATCATTATTTTTTCCCTGTTCGGGAGAGTATTTATCCTGGGATTTGACAATAAGAACAGAGCCATCCTAACCACACGTGTTGCCAATATGCTGCATAGAAGTCGAGAAAACCGAGCACAGCACACCAAACAGCACACAGCGACAAACAATGGCAAACAATGGCTCCCGCGACTGCGGCTTATCGACGAATGCAACATGGCGGCGGCCAAGTCACGTCTCAGCCGGCTCTGAGTTGCTGTTATTGCACGGTAGTTGCCATTTGTTAACGGAAAACAACACACAAGCCTTTTATAATACAGACACACTCGCCCGCTGACATGCATACAAATTGCGAAATGAGGAACTCAAACAAGCGGCAAGTGCCACAGTTTAAATTGAAAAAATAATGCGCGAATTTCGCCAAAAGCATTCAAGGTCGGATGGTAGGCCATCACCAAATAGAGGCGCATAACGAGATGTTGCATCTCGCCAACGCAAATATTTATTGGCACCGCACGAAAATGTCAAAGGCAATTGCTCTTTCCCGAAACAAAGAGCCACGCAAGTGCGTAAATTAAATTACACCTACTCACGCGTACCTGTTGCGGTCAATTAATTTTAAATTACCAGCAGAGGCTCTAAATTATTGGGACTTTAAATCGGGAATGTGTCCCACATACAACAAGCGCTGCAAATAGTTGAGTTATTGAATTATTCAACGTTTCTCTTCACGGGAACTATTAGCTTATTTGGAAATAAAACATGAACAATCTATTAAAATATTTTATTACGAGAGCAAAAATCATGCAATAATAATAAAGCCAGTGAAAAATATGGAATTGATTTCCATGCGAAGCTATTTATATATTTTTATATGCTTTTTAAAATAGTATATTTAATTTAGTCAACGAGTCAGTAAAAAATTTAGTTAAAAATTGCAAGATATTTTTTGTTAATTCAAACTTTTTATTTTATATTCGCCATTTAAATGTCACTAATAAACACAATCAAATGCACTCCATGAACCTAGCCAATTAATGTCTTTCATTTATTCGAGTAATTGTTATGTGAAAACCAATTGTTTGCTTAATAACAGAGAAAATTTTAGACTCTTAAAACAGAACACAGAAAAGCCATGAAACTGAATAAATAATTTATTAAATAATTAAAAAATACACCACATCAACAAAATACAAAAAAAAAGAAACTAACTAGAAATAAATAAAAGAAAATGAATTTGTGAAGTTTAATTTAATAAATTGTTAATTCATTTTATTTTAATGTTATTATTTAAATCATTTTTAAAATGAATAATTTCTTTCGCCGCAATAAATCCAAACATTTATGTGGGCGAATAGCTACAGTGTTGGAATAAAAAACACATTGAATCAAATGTAAACACGGAATTAAAAAAATCCCTCAAGTGAAGTACACATGTGTACCATTTTTTATGCATTCAAAGTGGGTTGATTTTCCCCTTTTTTCAGTCGTACAAACAACACTAATGAACACCTATGGGTGAGCCAGGAAAAAAGCCAATTAATCAATTTACGATTGCATTTTGCAGAAACAAGAAAAAAGGCGCGAGTTGCGCCTGAAGCGATTCTGGCGCTCTCCGAAGACGACGTCCTCGGAGGACTCCACCGGCTATGAGAGTCCAACGAGGACGAAGGCGTCCAGTGCTGGCGGCAGCAGCGATGCCCAGAGATTTAACCACCTGCACTACACCAGCCTGTCGCAGGGATCGGGCACCTCGTCCTCGGCGGGCGGAGCCACTGCATCCGGAGCGGGGCCAACGACGATTGGGCTTGGGCCGACCGGCAACAACAAGCCCTCCTGCTCGCTGCCACTTTTGCAGGTGTGGCCCAGCCAGGTAGGCACTTGTCTCCCCATTTTTGCCTTTTTTTCTAACAAACAGTAGAGCGAAAAACACGTTTCGAAGTAAGGAAATTGAGGTCAACACATCGTAAAATATTTTATTACGTCTTTATAGCCAAGAAATCGCGTCAGACTTAAAACATTATTTCCGCAGCCCCAAGGTATGCAATTAAATATTTCTTGGCAGTTATGACAACGAAACTTTATACTTAATCTGCAGAAATTTAATTGTTTGTGCTATACCAGTTTTCTAAAAATATTATAATTCATTTTTAAAAGTATGCCATAAATATTAATTTCTCTAAATATTAAACAGATTTTACATTTTTGTTGCATACTTATCGAGACTAGAATTGTTGGTGAGAACGCTACATCATTCTTTAGAAATCGTCTTAATTTCGGAACGTGTTATTTCTTGCTGTGTATACCAGCCATATAAAGTTGAACAAAAATGTAGACCAATATATGTGTTTTGGAGAAAAAGCAACCGCAACAGTTTTAAAAATTGGGGCTTTTCAGTTTTACTTTTACATTTTTTTTGGAACCACTCGTAAGCTAGTGGTTTTTATGCTGTGGCCAGTTGTGCGTTTTTGCGTTAATTTGTTTCTCCGACTCTCTATTTCTTCCCACTACACCAACACCACCAAACTCCACCAAACACCACCAAACACCACCAACACCACCAAACACCACCAACACCACCACCCGCCTCAAATACATACATACCCTTCTGTGTGTGCGTTGCGTGTTTGGTTTGGTTATGGCTATGGTTTTGGTTATGGTTTTGGATTGGTTTTGGCTTTGGCTTTGGTTCGGTTCTGGTTGTGATTCTGGTTCGGTTTTGATTGCTGGTCTGTTGTGGTAGCCGCTCCTGCGCCAGGAGGGCTTCATTCAGTTGCGTCGTAACAGCGGCCCCGAGGGCCAGCGGGTATGGTTCCATACAGTTCCTATTTTTCCAGCCTCTCTAGTCTGCTCCACTTCTCTACTTTTCCACTCTACTCTCTATCTAATATATGCTACTCGTAACTAAACCTAAACTAGACTTTTTGCATGCCTCGATTAACAATTAACTAAGCCTCCAACGAGCTCTAATCGTTTTTGACTACTAACTGTATAAATCTGACCACAGTACCCATCTTGTTGAGGTTTTTTTGTGTATTCTACACGTCTTTTTTACCTAGAACTCGTTATTCATGTAATTCTATTGGGAATTTTTTCGCTAAAAAAATATTATTTTTCCATGCACAATTTTTGGCAAGGGTTGGTCGACAAGTGCCAGGGGAATGTGGTTGAAATTGGACATATAGCTGCCAGTTTGATTTTATTTAAGCTTACTTTTTGCGCTTAGCTAGAATGGAATTTCAATAGAAATTCTCGTAGTTAATTAAGTAAATTAAATTTACCAATATTTTTAAATAAAAGTTTAGCTTCTCAGATTTATTAAAAATATTTGTATTCAAATTAAAAAACTTAATGCAAAACAAACAAACAAAATCGTTGTAAATAATTTTTGTCGCATTCTCTTGTCGATCGACCCCTGCTCAAACTAACCCAAAATCACCTTGTGTAAGTAAACCCCACGACTCAACACTTCTCCCTGTACAAAATAATGCAATCCCCCATCCCCGAAATACGTTTTTGAACCACCTAACTAACCAAGTCACCACTGAGAATATATCACTCCCCCGAAAAGCAGCGATTCCCACACTGCACCCGAGAACCGGCTTAAGAACTCCCCGAATCCCCTAAAAATATCCCCCAAAATGATATCCCCCCAGGAATATAACCCAACTTATATGTGATCTGGACTCTTGCAGGATTCGCCGCGTGGCGAGGCGGATGGCCAGTCGTTCGTGTTCCCCGCCATCGTGGAGACGAGCGTCAGCAGTCCGGTGGCCGGGGCCAGTGGAAGCGGCAGTATCGGGAGCACCAACCTGAGCCTGAACGCCAGGAGGAGCACCAACCACCTCAGCTTGTCCACGGACCGGCGGAGCTCTCTGTACTGTGATACCCTGCACGCCGGGGACTCGGGCATCGATTCGGTGCAGGCCTCGCCCTCGCCGAACGCCTTTATAGCCCCGCCGGGGGTTCACCACTTGCCGCTGGGCCAGACGGGCGGAGGATCCTGCCATGTCTCGCCCACGAGCACGCCCACCCAGGGATCGCCCAATCTGTCCCTGGGGCGGAGGGGCGTGCGCAACAGCATTTGCGTGGTGCCAAGTGGCAATGGACGGAGGAAGTCGAGTGCCCTGCTGCATCCCGACCATGCCAGGCTCTTTGCCCTGCGGATGAAGCACGCGGCCGCTTTGGAGAGGGCCCAGACCTCACCCGACCAAACCTCCATCGAGGATGCGAACGAGTTCCACGACAACGGACTGGCCACCAACCTGCGGCTGTGCTCGGCCTCCTCATCGACGACGTCGTCGCTGACATCCGTGGCCGCGGTCAGCCTGGGCGGCGCCGGGGGTCCCGGTGGTGGTGCGAACACCACCTGTGGCTCCTCCTCCGGCTCCGCCTACGCTGTGGGCGCGGCGGGCGTCCAGCAGCGCGTCTCCGATCCCTGGCTGCAGCCGCAATCCGATCGGGAACGGGACTCCCGGCACGACGGCAGGCGCCGGTCCTCGACGATGACCGCTCGGTACTCCCTGTTCGATGCCCTGGACCTGGAGTACGTGCTCTTGAGGGCCGCTGCCCGGGGTTCCGTGGGTCCCTACAGCCTCAGCGAGTCCATACACAAGCTCACCTTCACCCAGTCCCTGGCCTTTCCGGCCTTGGCTCGAGGTCTGGCCACCAAGAGGAGGAGATCGGCCACGCACACGAGCTCGCGGCCACTGAATCCCCATGAGTCCGGCCTGAACACCTGCGCCAAGGTGGTCACCGCCGTCGTCCTGGTGGCCCTGTCCTTTATGGTATTCCTCATCGTCTACAAGTTCGTGAGGACGTGAGGTTTGCTCCTGGCCCCGTCGCCAGAGCTCCCAGTCACATATCAGGCCAACTACGGAGCGGAGGAGGGGTCTTCGGCGTCCTCCATCATCTCGTCGGCGGGCCGCAGCCTGGGGAAGCACATGTCGGGGTTCAGGAGCAAATTGGGTCTGCGTCAGGCCGACTTCGAGTGATCCTTGAGGAGAACGTTAGAACAGGCATTGAAAAAGCTGGTTGGCAACATTTTTGGTATTCCAAATGATTTCGATATTATTGTTTCTATTAATAAAATATAAATCGGACGGTAGAGTAAAATATCCTCGATGTACAGTGATTTCTTAGGAATTCATTTTACCTGATATAACTGACATAAAAAGAGAATCTTAAGAAATTGCCTAGTTATTTCTTGGTGTAAGTTCTTAAAAATTCGCGGCACATTTTCGCGAAAAATTTCATATTGGAAAATTGTTTTTACGGTTAAAAACTATACCTTTTTTCAAATTAATTTCCCTAAAACGTACCTATCGAAACCTAAAACGTACCTATCGAAACCAATTTTGATTACCAAACAGTTGCTGGCCGGTGAAATTCTTGTGATAAACTATCAATGAATGCAAATTTTCCACAAAAGAAAACAAACACACGTTCACAAAAGTGAAACCAAAATGTAAGTTAATGGAATAACAAATTAAAGGCTTAAACATTTAGTAAAAACAGCTTCAAGAGGCTTGCCAGAGTTTCATCAAATTTATAATATACTTATGGATATGAATATATTTTTATAAATATAAAAATCGCTGCTCGCATTTCCTAGGCTCCTATTTAGCAAAGATTTTTGGATAAAATTCACAATCCAGTTTCATTGTTTGCAGTTGAAGTGCCTAACTAATTTTTGAAAAAATTACAAATTACATTAAAATTCTGCTTAATTTTGTTCTCTTCTTAAAAACGAATTTAGAAATTGGCAGCTGCTTTGAAAATTAAACTGTTTGCGCGCTGCAGTAGTCCAAACAACATTTCCCAGTAGATACAAGTTTGAAAGGGAATACAAATTGGTTGGTGGAATTGGGAGCAAATATGATGATGGGCATTTAGTTTTGCATCTTTAATTTTGGTCTAGTAGTATAATTTGATAAAAATAAAATTTTTAATAAGACCTAGCAAGTTTATATACTTTTACTTTCAATTATTCGTACTAAAAAATATTATTAAAAGGCTATATTTCTATACATTTTCAAATTAATAGGAATTTACACATTAGAAATAGTTTTTACTTCGACTGATTCAAAATCATTATCTAATATCAGTATCCTTAACAAAATTTAATATTATTTATTAATACATGATGGCTTTTATGTCAATTAAACATACAAGAGCAATTTTCTTTCTTATTATCCATACTAACCAATGCTTGGCCCATCTGTTCAGTATACCCCCCAAATCCAAAATTACCATTTTAGTGTTGAATTATTGGCATTAGTTTTAAGAATCAGGAATATTGGCAGACGATTAAGGAACATACAAATAAACAAAGAATTTGTACTGAGTTGTTAGACGGCTAGATGATGACGGAATGATATGATATTTGTGGAAATCCAGGCATATTAAATTAACATATTTATGGTAGCTATATATAGTTATACAAGCAAATAGATATGTATATGTATACATGCATTATATATATATGTGTATGGGTGTTTATAAATGTATACCTAAGCGGCTTAAATGTGACAAAGCACTTGCTGAAATACCAATACAAACTCTCTACTCTTAACTTGCTGCCTTACTTTCCTCTAGTGAAAATAGTTGAAACAAAACGACAAGATCGATGAACAAAGTCCCGACTAACAAATTCTTCATAAATTGCTGCCTTACTTTCCTATATGAACTAAAAAGAAAATCGACCCAAAACCTTTTGAAAGAGTCCTCTTTATCTCTCAGAGCTTTTTTCCTATTTCCTCTATGAGCTTGGCCTACCAATGAACCTAAAAATATGAAACAAAAAAAAAAGCAAAAACATTTTATATAGAGTAAAAAAATATATACTAAATGTAATGTTAAATAATTGATATTAATATTAAAGCTGGCTAAAGAATAAACATTTTGTTGCATAAGTATAAGCTACTCCTTCCTCTCTTTTTTGCATAAATAATTTCAACATTTGTCAATGGCATTCATCAATATTTATGCATAGTTTACGACCTTCTCTTTTTCGTTACGATTGGTGTGCAGCCAACTATGGTTAAATAAAAAAATGCATATTAAATGTGACACAAACAGAAATGAGAAGAAAATGAAAAACCAACTGTAACCGTAACTGAAGTAAGTTGAAACGTGCAACAATAAAAAGTAAGAAATTTTCAAATAAACCATTCCGTCTGTGTTTCTTTTCCTTTTGTTATTTTATGACTGCTACGGAAGAACATTAAATTGAAAATGTTTCATTTTCACTATCGCATTTATGTCTCGATTCTCCTCTGGCTTCCGGGAATTGCCAACAACTAATTGAGAGTGACGTGGCAGGGAAGAACCAAAGCTAATGAAGATGACGATGATTTATGGAGAGCTTCGATTTTCAGCACAAGAAGTTGGAAGCATAAATGGTACTAATGGAAACGAATTAAAGTTGTAAGTTGAAAGCTACAGGAACATACTTCCATTTATAAAAAACTATAAAACTTCTGCTTATTGAATTCGATTTATTATAATAATATCTGCAATAAAAACATGTGCTCTTTTAGTAAAAATAACATCCACATATATAAAATGTTCAAATTCTTGCAGGTTTTCTTTTCATTGATTTAATGTTTTTTTTTTTGCCTAAATGACCTCTTTAGCGTATACACACCATAACACAAAAATTTAATGGCGTCCTAAATTCTTAAAATCGCAGTCATTTCGGACTTAAACAAATATTGATTATTTTAAACCATAAATAAATAACAAACAGTTCCAAACGATTAATTCCCTGTCGTCAAACAAATCGAATCATTTTGGTTTTGAAATAATTTTAATTGAAGCTCTCAAAGGTTTTAATTGCACTCAATTAAAGATAAATTACAAGCAGCTTTTAATTGCTCAAAATAAAAGATGAATATTAAGGAAGGATGGAAGGCTTTAAAATATTAATATTCGTTTACTTTATTTATTAACCATTTTATTTACTTGGTTTTTTAAAGGACAGCTATTAACTTGTCCAAAAAAGAGTCAACCGTTTCACAACGTAATTATAAGCAAATAGTGAACAATTAGTTGTCATTATTATTTCAACAGCCAGTTAAAAAGATATTTCGTTCAAATATTAACCAGGCTTTTCAGTTTACATTCATGAATAAATCATGCCGTGTTTGAAGTACGAACCACTAATAATTGAATTGTCAGTAAGCTGGCATCGCTGCATATTTGCGCAATCGATTTAACGCAGATTGATGAGCCGCAAGAACTTTACAAATGGCAGGAAATAAGTTGTTTTGGGAACTTTGCCCAGTTGAAAATTGCTTTCCCCAATCTCCAGATTCGCATTTAGCCAAGCAATCACAGTTGGAATTCGAGCGATTCGCAAAGCAAAGTTCTTCGGGCTCTGTGATAAATCGGGCTGTCGTTGGTTGTCTTTTCGGGCAAGTTGCTAATCTAAATAATTAAGCAAGCCCAATTTGATTTGCCAGGGCAAATGTACATATACACATACTGATATGCATGTAACACCCACATTTCTGTGTGTGTGTGTTGCCAACTAATTTATCCATAAAGGGCAAAGCACACCCGACGGCCAGACGAAATGGAATGAAAATACGGGCCGAAAACAAGGCAAAAGGCCCAGGACATTCGGCACAGATTGCCAGAACTAGGCCAGAACATTTGACGAAAGCCCGGCCGGATTAAAGGAACTGGGGGCCGGAAGAGTCCATTGCCACATACACACATATGGTGTTCTGGGGGTCTGGTGCATAATTAAGCACGCAAACCGCAGAGAAACAAAAATAAAAGCCCCAAAAACGGAATCAGTGGCTGTGGACGGATCCATAACAACAGGGGTAAATACAATTTTCAGGGCCTTCGATTGCTACTGGGCCGGATGTATTTTCATATATACGCATACGTATGGCACATCGAGTATACGCAGTGTGTGACCAGTGGGGAACGAATGCGTAACAATTGACCAAATAATTGAAATGAAATTTTAAACAATTCACTGCATGCGAAACGATCCAATATGATGACTTTCAATTTCAGGCCTTGCCTTTTGGTTGCATTAAAAGTATTTCAAAAGCTTTTGCTTGGGTGCACGGAGAAAAAATACTTTAGTTAGGCATGCGGACTAAGGTTAATGAAAAAAAGACCGATATCGATGGTTTTGAAATTTAGAAAAAAGTATTTTAATACATAATTAAAATTTAGATCGTTTTTTTCACCATAATTTTCCTTAGTTTTGTAATTTGTTTTGTAATTTTCTTTATTTTCAGACAGTATTGATAATACCGATAGTGACCACCATCGATAGCCAAAAACATCAATAGTGGACATTAAAGTAACCCTAATGCGGACGAGAAAATGGCATCAGCATTAAAATCATTCATATTTAAATAAGAAATAAGTAGTTTGTTTGTGTTCGGCTCTTAATATCTAAACAATTTCTAGGCCAATGTAATTAATATTTAAAATGCATTTCTGTCCTCCTATGGACTCAATATTTTATCTGTGTGCTGCTGCTGCCGTCTGCGTTGTATTTGTAGCTTTTGATACGCCTGGGCCGAGTATTTTTAGCACTCAAGGTTGCCAGAGCATCGGATGCTCATGCGGATGTGGATGATTTGAAAAGTGGTAGGCAACAGTTAGCAGGTGGGTGGTGGGTGGTGGAGGAAGAGGGTTAAGCACACACGAGCCGCCGCCTTGAGAACCACCGCAAATGCACCTGTTTTATTTTTTTCCCCTGCTTTTGTGTTTAAACTTGTTGCAAATACGAGTTGTAGCTGCAGCGAGCATCTGTCGAGGCCTTGACTCTGACTGTGGGTGTCCTTCGGTGGGGGACCTTGGGCAGAAATTGAAAATTTTGTCGGCCTGCTAAGCTCTTCACAACAGCAATATATTCGGCCTTTTTTTGGGGAACGAATGGCCGAGAGGAGTTTTAGGCCGAAATAGGAATAAATGCATGCAATCAAGTACGGAAATTATATGTGCATAAATTTCTTTGTATCCGGGTTATCAATCCTGATTCCTTGAAAACTCCGACAAGATTCTTGGATGCCATTTAACAAGTCAAGTACGTGAATTCATTTTGCA